TATGACCAATATAAGAATTTTCACCCTAAAATGTCTCTGAACAGGTAAGTAACATCCACTTTTGTTCTTCTGACCAACTGAACTAAAAAAAAAGCATTGCAGTAAATAGTGCTGATTAAATCTATCGATTATCATATCACGTCAAACCGTGCAAATGATACTTTGTTCTCAAATTGTTAATGTTAACAACATCAGCATTGTGACTACATTTAATGGCCTTCCGATATTTATCCTTGTTTTCGCATAGGCCCGGTTGCAGTCTCTTTTTCCAAATCTCTAGTTGTCACTGGTGATTGTCGTTTGAACCTTTCTATTATTATAATTAATAAGTTGAATTATATCAAGTGCTGTGAGAAAAGGCTATAAATCTCCACCTCCAACATCCTCACACTCATACTTGCCAAGACACCTTCTTTATGTGTACAGATGTGACGTAATGACGCAAAGACATGCTCGAATTTCCCGCGAAAATTCACCAGTAACACTGGAATTAAAAACATTATTACAAGCTTACCGTCTTAAATCGAGCAAAGGCAAGCAGATAGTTTTGAACACTAGCTGGTTATGTACTTGCTCAAAAATTTATTTTGGATCATTTTTAACCCAAAAAAGTTACGGACTGGAGCTTTAATTTTCCTATTTTTTACCCCAAATAGGATACAGTGAGCATTATGCATAGACAGTAAAAGAAATGGACACAGCGACCCCATAGACTTCAACGGAGAAAAGTGAAGTCAAATAGAAGCACTCACTTCCTGATTGCCAAACACACTGCGCATGCTCAAACTGAGCTTGAAGACGTAGTTGTGACGTGAGCAACCTGACTGACAGTCGTACGTCTTCTAGTAGCGGTGCCAAGAGGAATCTGAATCATTCCCTTCTGAATCTTGCAGAGCCGGAGATCGTGAGTGTTAGCTGTTCATGATCTCGCAGCAGGAGCAACTTTATGACTCTCTATGGGCTTCTCCCTTGACTTTATGCCTCCACGTCCCCCGATTGCGCGTGAGCTTCTACATCTGTCTTTACGGTCATTTCTCTTCTATGCGACAGAGAGTCGCGTGTTATGATGCAATCGTTAGCCTATTTTTACAAAAACGGCTTCTACGGGGCCACAACGTAAGATACAAGGTAATGGAGCATTTTATACATTGTCATGTTTCTTTAGAAATAAATAATGGACAAATGGAGTCTTTAAACGTCTCAGATGTAAAGTTATTCGCTGTCAAAGTGACGCAAAAATGAATGGGAGTCAATGGAATGCTAACAGCAGGTGAAGGCTTGTTAGCCAATGGCGGCGCCCGGGGAGACTTCAGTTTCCGGCTGGTGGATTACCCCCTTGGCATTATCGAGTGCTAAACACACGTCTGTTTCATTCATACTGGAAGCCAGAGGGCGCCCTCACGTAGAAACTCCATATATGCCTCGCATAATTAATATAACTTGACATTACAGGAAATCCCTAATGTGAAGCTATTACTGATTCTCTGTAGCTGAATAAAAAGAAGATATAAATGCTTTGACTGATTAAACATGAAGAAACACACGACTGCCTCAATATGGTGTATTTGACTCCTTCAAGCCTTCTCAGGTATTTTCAAAATAATAAAGTATAATGCATTGCTAATCGACATAGCCTTTATCACTGTATAGAATACTATAAAATAATATATTGTCTGCCTCATTCTATGATAAGAAGCCACATCAGCTCTCAAAACGAAGTTATTTCAAACAATCGACTGACATTATGAAGTGAGTTTGGAGTAAAACATGTTATTAAATGTCTTTTGGACAACAGGTTTATGAAAGCTTCGCATATTACAAGTTTGGGAAGATGTATGATGATTGTTGCTTTTGGAAATGCACATTATAAGTGACTCAAACTTGCTGTGCTTTCTGAGATGGAGCAGCATTTACTACTGATTACAGTTGTGCAAATAGGCTACTTAATTAAAGCTGCAGTCATAGACAGTATAAGAAGTGGACAGAGCCATCTCATTGGAACTCAGTTGAGACAGTTGAAGCCCATTTTTAGCGATTTTTGAGCACTTCCGTTCCTGACGCGCAGACTCAAACCGACTCGAACTAAGCTTGATGACGTGAGCAACCTGTCTGACAGACGTTAATCCTCTAGTAGCTGTGCGTGAAAATTGCCAACGTTAATCTTGCAGAGACGGGGAACTTGAGCAAAGAGTTCTTTGGCGTGAGTGAGCAGGAGAAAGTATTGCGTTGCTTTTATGGACTCATTATCTATGGGCTTCTCCCTTGACGGGACGTCCCCCCGATCGCCTGCGAGCTTCTCCTCCTGTCTGTACGGTAATTTCTGTACAGCGCGACAGAGAGTCGAGTGGTTATGACGCAATCGTTAGCCTATTTTTACTAAATCTGTTTCTACGGGGCCATAGTGTAACATAGAAGGTAATGGAGCCCTTTATACATTGTCGTGTTTCTTTAGAAATAAATAATGGACAAATGGAGTCTTTAAACGCCTCAGATGTAAAGTTATTCGCTGTCAAAGTGACGCCAAAATGAATGGGAGTCAATGGAAATAATAACGCAAGTGAAGTTCTGCTACAACATGGTGGCACCCGGCCGGCTTCAACTTCCGGTCGATGGATTACCCCCTTGGCTGCAGTCCGCAGTTTTTCCTCTTTGTCGCCATCTCTGTTCGAAATCTGCAATTGCAGTTATTCGCGGAATTATCAACTTTACGTGAGTTGTACTTCGACATGGCACAGCGCGGATGAACACAATGTTTGAGGAGAGTGTGCAGCTGTCAATCACTGCGCTGTTGTGGATACTGACATTCAGAATCACAGATTATTATTTTTGGAAGTATGACCAACATAATAATTTTCACCGGAAAATGTCATCTGAACAAGTAAGTAACATCCACTTTTGTTCTGGTTCTGACATTGCAGTAAAACGCGCTGATTAAATCTAACAATCGCTTATCATATCACGCAAAACCGTGCAAATTATACTTTGTTCTCAAATTGTTAATGTTAACAACGTAAGCAAGCATTGCGTGACTACATGTAATGTCCTTCCGATATGTATCCTTGTTTTCGCATGGGTCCGGTTACAGTCTCTTTTTTTTTCACTTCGAATGAAGTCTTTTGCATTTTACAATCTGCAGTTGTCACTGGTGATTGTCGTTTGAACTTTTCTGGATCCGCCATCAAATTGATAAGTTTAATTATATCAAGTGCTGTGAGAAAAGCCTATAAATCTCCACCCACAACATCCTCACTCACAATATAGCTTATACTAGCCGAGACTCCTTCTTTATGTGTACAGATGTGACGTAATGACACAAAGACATGCTCGAATCTCCCGCGGAAATCCACCAGTACCACTGGAATTAAAAACATTATTACAAGCTTACCGTTTTGAATCGAGATAAGGCAAGCAGAGAGTTTTGAACACTGGCTATGTATTTTTTCAAAAATGTATTTTGGATCATTTTTAATCCAAAAAAAGCTACGGACTGCAGCTTTAATTAAAAATCGATTTCATAATCGCACTATGCCAAATTGCGATTTTGGTTTAAAGGAGAACTCCGGCGCAAAATGAACCTTTGGTCTAATTACACATTTGGCGCTTTTCCATTACCAGTACCAGCTCGACTCGACTCGCCTTGGCTCGCCTCGACTCGGCTCGCTTTTCGCTCCGTTTTCCATTGCAGAAAGTACCGCCGCAAATAGTACCCGGTCGTCATAGCGACGCATTTCGTTCCTCGTTGCCCCATCAAGCTCTCGCTGGATCCTCTCTTCGGCAACCAAACAAAGGAATGTCTGCACCTCCTCGTTTGACCACGGCGTATTCTTCCGAGTTGCCATAATAATAGTAGTAAGTTTAGTAACTATCTCTGGCCAAACTATTTAAAAATGGCGGGGTTATTCTGGATACTCCATCTGGCGCGTGCAATGATGACGCAGATTCTCTGTGACCAATCAGCAGTCGGCATTGTTTCACGTCACATTTTAGTATCGGCTTAGCTCGCCTCAGCTCGCTTAGAACCTCGCCGGAGGTGGTACGAAAAAAAGTACCCGAAAGCAGGTACAGGTACAACTTTTACACAGTGGAAAACCAAACAAAGGCGAGTCGAGTCGAGCCGAGGCGAGCTGGTACTGTGTAGTGGAAAAGCGCCAATTGTTATCTAGTCAACCGTTATCTGAGATTTGTTTTCATGATTATCGAATGTAAATAGTTTTATCTCTAAAAAAAACAGTTTAGCCTATAACGCTAGTATAACGCTAGTATATAGGGCATAGAGTAATGACAAATAAAAATCGCTTGTTAATACCACTAAGGCTCAAAATAGCCCCACACTAACACGGTAGCATAATGAGGGTCCCTACCTTCAAACCGAAGCATTGAGAACTTTGTCATTGTCCAGACAGTTTAATAAGAAGATATTTTATACATACAGTCAACTTCGCGTATACAGGCAGAAGCCATCTTTGAAAAACAGTCTATCTACGAACGCCGATCCAAGCCTACTGTTCGCGCTCACCTTATCACAACTTATAGCTCGTTCACATCTCACCAGCGCACTTGGATCGGCATTCGTAGATCAACTGGTAGAGACTGTCTGGACACTGACAAAGTTCTCAATGCTTCGGTTTGAAGGTAGGGACCCTCATTATGCTACCGTGTTAGTGTGGGGCTATTTTGAGCCTTGTTAGTGGTATTAACAAGCGATTTTTATTTGTCATTACTCTATGCCCTATATAGCGATATACTAGCGTTATAGGCTAAACTGTTTTTAGAGATAAAACTATTTACATTCGATAATCATGAAAACAAATCTCAGATAACGGTTGACTAGGTGACAATGTGTAATTAGACCAAAGGTTAATTTTGCGCCGGAGTTCTCCTTTAAGTTCAATTAATTGTGCAGCCCTACCAGGCTTCCATCAAATAAGAATGAAAAATGTTTCACCAGATACTAACACATCAACAATCAAAACATACAAAACACATTTTCACATTTGAAATAGAATCTATTCTTTATTATTTGGACGCAGGGAGAAAGTTTTTTATATTTTTCTTATTTTTCATATATTATCTTTTCTCTACTGCACAATTTGCATAATTTCATGACATCCTGTGGACAACCACAAAACCATAACATTAGAGTTTTTTTCTACTTTTTTTTTACACGAAGTGAAAAACAAGACTCATTTTACAAGCATTTTTACAGTCCGCATACAAATTCAGGTGATGTGTTCAATTTTTCTCTCTTTTTAAACTGAATCTGGAGGCAAAATATATCAACAAACATCTAACAAAACATGCAACATCTATGTAAAAACATAGAAACTCTTTGACAACATTCAATTTGACAGGAAATTTTGTGTTGTCTTTTTTCCTTTTTTTCTTCTTTTTGTTTTTTAAACCTTACCGTTTTCATTCTGAGAGACGCTGTTGATTTCATCAAACAGGTTGGAATGGGTTGATCGAACACATGATTTTAAACCAATCCAGATATTACTTTCTTACACAGTTAGACAAATACAGTATGTACAGACAGAGTTTGACCTTGATCACAATCACATGCTCAACGTCAGACCAAATAAATATTCAGACTTTTTTTCGTAGAAAATATCCTATATATTTACAAAATCAAAAAAATCACATTCACACTATTTACGGCAACTGAATTCATCAAACGCATCGTGATTTTAAAAGAAATGGGGTAATATAAGAATAGAAGATCATTTTTAGTAGTCAAAAAATGATATGTGCTTGCTTAAAGGGAACAACTGAAGAAAAAACTTTCAAAAGGTGTGATGCTATAGGTGAAAAATGTATGACAATGACTTGTAACAGGTTTTGATTGGCCAACATAATTATACGCAATATAAAATATGCATTATGATGTTTAAAATACGCACAGATTATTTTTTACCAATTTTTCTGGTATGTCAGCATATTTCTTTTGTCATTATTTATGATGACATTTGGAAACCTATGAAAACAAGAACGTAAAGTGCATTAATATGTACTGTGCCATAAAGAGTAAGTAAAAATAAATAAATAAAAATAAACACTATACAATATTCATATAATTTATGTCTTGTTTTCTTTAACAGATATACATATATTCAGACACTCGCCGGATGCCGCATGTTAAGGTATATGCATTCAAAGAACATAATCCATGTTGCATAGATTTACCCAAACAGAACCAGTGGTTTGGTTAAAACATCAGGTTGGCACACGATAGTTTATCTTACTATGACAGCAACCTTTTACTCAGGTACATCTGTGCACCACCTGTGCAAGATGTAGATTAAATAAAATGGAAATGTTGGAGTACGTTTTATTAGCCAGGTTATAAAACACTCTGTTTCCATGTGTGAGACATGTCCACTGATATATTGATCTTGGAAACACTGACCGTTAAGTTAGAAAATTACTGACTGGTGTTTTCAGGACCTAGACAGACAAAACCATGTGCCTTAATCCATCAATGGCACATACTAGTGTACCTATACACTGATATGGTGCAGAGGCAGTGATCATAATGAAAAATAACCATCCTTCATAGCTAAACTGACATGACCAGATGAACTTTACAGCAGAAAAACAATATTAAAAAGTGTACCACCATGGAACAGTGACACGTGACAAAGGACAGACACCTTGCACCATTTAAATAAACAACAAACATTACATCTGGATTTTAGTCGAGCCAATTGAGCCAGAACCCTTATATAAATGCCAAAAAGGTATACGTTCATTCTTTTTTTTTTTTTTTTTTTTTGCATATTTGGATTCCACATACAACTTGGTCACAAAACGGAGACTATTGGTGACAACATCAGACCACTAACATGACATTTACTTCAAGATGCTCTTCATAAAACAAACACATATCAGGGACACGTACAATCATATTTCTGGACAGAGACTAGATGCCCTTTAACTTCAGAGAACCTAATTTGAGGGCTTGAGATGCTAAAAAACAAAGTACGCCCTCATTTAGCATCCAACAAACATCAAGAAGGTTGCGTGAAAATCATCTCAACTTCAATGAGCCATCCGTATCCAACTGCTGACGTCAGTCTGAAGTTTTAACATTCCCTAAACGTTGAAGACGACACTCAAGACAATATAAACAGAGGAATCTTAAATTGTGTGCGGTTGGATGCTGCATTCAAAAAGGGAAATCCATTATATTTACGATTGTCTTTCTTCCTTACAGTATAACCTCCATACAGTGCATAACATAGTCTGATATGGTCATTATATATCACATGATTGTGTCAAAAACTTTAAATTATGCTACGTTTATATCAATGTAAATAATGTTTTTTTTTTGTTTTTTTGAGAAATATGACCATGAACATGTGATGACAGCTAAAATGGCATTGAAATGTAGAAAATCTCAAGTAATAATTGGCCCATGCCTAAGATATTTTAGATGTAGAATGTAGTTGCAAAAAGACAACAGCAGTGCATGGGGAGTGGAAATGGATTTAGATATCCTGATTGGGAATGGTTGGGAATTTGGAGTACACTTTTCAGTTAGAAAACCAGCAGTCTCACCCTGCAGACTGTTCGACACAGTAGTCAGTTTATTTCTTCACCTTGATTTTCTCTTTCCATCACCTGTCAGCCATTCCAGATTCCCAAACCCACCGTTTCCTGTTTTATTTCTCTTTTTTTTGAGGCGACCGATGGGAGACGGATGGGCGTCTGATTATGGCTGCGTTTGATTGGTGGTGGCCACTAGCTTGTGCCAGCTGACCGCCCGCTTACGCATGTCCACTTTGTCCAGCCAGATGTAGGCCTCACCTATCAGGGTCTTCTTCATAAACTTCCCTCCATTTGACACCAGAAACATCTGTGAATAGGAAGGGGATGCAAGGTAAACAAAGGGTGAGTGAAAGAGTTAAGTTTAATAAAATATTATACATACACTACTGTTCAACAGCTTGGGGTCAGTAAGATGTTTGTTTTTTTAAATAAATGTATACCTTTATCTAGTGACTGTAAAGAGTCGTCAAAAAATCTTGAAAACAATGTATCACGATTTCCACAAAAATAATAAGCAGCACAACTGTTTTCAACATAATAATATTAAATGTTTCTTGAGCAACAAATCAGCATATTAGAATGATTTGACATTGAAGACTGGAGTAAAAGATGCTGAAAATGTAACTTTGTCATCACAGGAATAAATTACATCTTAAAATATAATAAATATATACATATTTTGCTGCATTGGTGAGTATAAGAAACTTTCAAAAACACAAGAAAAATCTTACCAACCCCAAACTTTTGGATGCTATGGTAGTGTGCATTTGTGACTATATATATATTCGTAGTTTGTAATTTCTCTCACCTGAATAGAGTGGCCAACGGGATTCAGGTTAAAACGAAATGTCTCATTGAATGATGGCTCTCTGTCATGGCGACACACTCGGGTCTTCTTCTTTATGATCTTCTTTTGAGTTGCCACATTCACCACATAAAGTTTTACATACAAGTCTACAAAGATAGTTGAAATATAATAGATTCATTAGCATTTCAAGCAATTCTCAATATACAATTCACTTATCTTGATTACTTTATGTCAATTGTATTTATGAGTATCTGTTGAGGAACATTGCATTACCGGGTAGGTGGTCTGGAGATTTGAACTTGTAGGTGATGTTTCTACACTGCAGGATCTCAAGAACCAACTGCTCTCCTTCAGTCTTCATCTCCTTCTTCAATGCAACCTTGATCTCACCCATCATCTTACCTACAGTCAGATAGATAGATAGATAGATAGATAGATAGATAGATAGATAGATAGATAGATAGATAGATAGATAGATAGATAGATAGATAGATAGATAGATAGATAGATAGATAGATAGATGGATAGATAGATGGATAGAAGGATATAAGGATAGATAGATATACAGACAGATATACAGATACATACAGTACATACATAGATACATACAGTACGTAGATAGACACATAGATAGATAGATAGATAGATAGATAGATGATAGATAGATAGATAGATAGATAGATAGATAGATAGATAGATAGATAGATAGATAGATAGATAGATAGATAGATAGATAGATAGATAGATAGATAGATACATACATACATACATACATACATAGAAATTATAACAAAATACAACCTCTTCTATTTCATATATTTGTTGTATGTATCTTCACTTACTGCATATTGTCAGCTGTTCTAAATAAATCAATACAAGTTGTGGGCAATGGCGACCTCTAGTGGGCAAAATTTTGCACTAAGCAAAAAGGAAATGGTGTCAAAACATTCATAAGAAATGAACTACAGGGGTTGGACAATGAAACCGAAACACCTGGTTTTAGACCACAATCATTTATTAGTCTAATAATTTATCATGTTGTCTTGGGAATGACAGATATGTGCCCTGCACAGTGATCGAAGGGATTTTGAGCCATTCCTCTTCCAGTGGCCAGGTCACTATGGTGAAGCTGGTGGAGGAAAGCGTTTCCTGACTTCTCCAAAATACCCCAAAGTAGCTTGATTGTCTTCAGATCAGGTGACTGTGCAGGCCATGGGAGATGTTCAACTTCACTTCCATGTTCATCAAACCACTCTCACCAGTCTTGCTGTGTGTATTTGTGCAGTATCATCCTGATATACACCACCTTCAGGGTACAATGTTTTAACCATCCTTGACAGTGACCTGCCCATCTAGCACAAGTAGTGGGGTAATGATATTGCATCCCAAACTATCACTGTCTGGGTGTTAAACCTCTTTGGGGCTTCTCCACACCGTAACTCCCACAGATGTGGGAAAGACAGGGAAGATGGACTCATCAGAGAACTACATTTGTTAAGTATTTTTCAACAAGATTTTTCTTATCCAAATGCCAAGTTATCAAGTTATCCAAAACCCAAGATTTACGCTGCTGGCACACGAGTGACCAAAGGTTTGGCTTTGAATATTGACCATGAATACCAACCCTGTGGAGCTCACAATGGACAGTTTTGACAGAAACAGGAGAGTTGAGGTGCACATTTAATTCTGCAGCTGTGCTTTTATGTTTTTTTTTGGATACAATCCGGGTTAATACCTGAACCTCCCTTTCAGACAGCTTCCTCTTGTGTTGACAGTGTAGTGTTACAAATTTATTAAAATGTTTAATTTAGATTTCCAATACTGTAGTATATAAACTGAGGAAGTTTATTAGTGTGAATTTTGTAACTAAGGTAAATGTCACAAACCTGCCTGTTCCTGTCTGTCCTGATTTTTCTATTGCAAGTTAAATTGATACCATCACCTTCTGTTTGTGAGTTCCCGTCTCAGTACGAGAAGGCCTGCCCTTCCTGTTCTCGTGTCTCAGCGTTTGAAATAAGTCATGCTGAGCAGGTTCCAAAACCTGTATACCTCATTTCAGAGTGTCTCACCCCTCGATGTAAATCCCTCCTCCTAAAATGTGTATAAAATTGCAATGTAAAGTTCCCTTAGTCAGACTTGACGAGGAATGCAGCTACCAACAGCTCGTGTTTCTCAATAAAGAATCCTGCTGAAGATACAACCAAGTCTCCTGGTCTTCGCTTCTGAGTTCCTAAACTTTAGAAGAAAAAAAGTTCACAACAACAGTTACTTCTGTCCTGGTCACAGATGAGCCACCGAGACGCACACCAACCATTTGTCCTCTTTTGAACTCTGATATGTCTCCCATTATGTTGTGTGGATTGCAATATTTTATGGACAGGTGAGCTTTTGCTCTTACTGATGGCATGTAAGATTGGCCACCATTGGCCAGTTTCATTGTCCAACCCTGTATGTATGTTAAAACAATAGTTATATACACTATAAAACATGAAGTAAAATGAAATACTAGACATCAAGGTATTGGTGGCAACTAAATACAAAACAATGTTTTGTATAATGTTCATTATGCTGTACAAAGATAAACAAAAATGTTCAAGAATGCTCGTTTGACACTGTCCGTGTTTTGTTGTGTCGACGTCTGTCTCTTTTGACAGCAACAAAAACACACCCTCCGCTGTGATGAATTATTCAGCAATGTGTGGCAGTGGCACGTCTAGAGCAGAACAGAGGGGATGACTGCTGTTTTCCTGTTTAACAGGTTCTTAGTCTTGCAAACAGCTTTCTGACAAGTGTTAATTCAACCTCAGGGGTGAACCTGACCTGTACTGACTGACTACCCTGTATAACATAGTACAAAGCTGTATTATGACTCACAGTTTACCAATTTTATTTCGTTCTCATAAGGTTCACTGTTATGAGCATGGAAACAACTAGAATTAGATTGTGTGTGAACTGAAACAGATCGTTACCTTCCGAATCTGGCAGGTTCAAAGATTCAACTCCTCTGCTTTTATCTGTCCCATTAGGAATGTTTTTCCTGATGAAATGAATAATAATAGAGCAAAGAAATTGAAGGTGTGAGTACTGCAACTTTTTTTTATTTATTATATATATTATATTAGTATATAAATAGTAGGGTCTAAAAAACAAAGATTTCAAATCACATTTAAACCTGGAAGTTTTATGTTTTTAATATTGAAATAAAATAAAATTGACATAAAATGAATTAGAAATATTTCTTATTCTGCAGATTTCAGATTTATTGGGAACAAATCAAATAAGATTAAAATTCAATAAATAAAATTCATTCAGTTTTGCATTCAAAATTTTCACTCAAATTGTTAATAATACACTAGTTTAAATTTAAAATATTTATATTTAAATAAATTAACATTTATTATTAATTATAATATATATATATATATATATATATATATAACATTTATATGTGTACGTTTATTTATATAGCAAAGACATTACATTGATCAAAACTGACAGTAAAAACATTTATAATGTTGCAAAATATATATTTCAAATTCTATTAATTAATGAATCTTGAGGGGGAAAAAATTCACAAATATAAAGCAGCACAACTGTTTTCAACATTGATAACAATAAGAAATGTTTCTTGAGCAGCAAATCACCATTTCTTCACATGATTTCTGAAGGATCATGAGACACTGAAGACTGGAATAATGATGCTGAAAATTCAGCTTTGCCAACACAGGAATAATTACATTTTAAAATATATTCAAACAGAAAACTGTAATTTTAAATTGTAATAATATTTCACAATATTACTGTTTTTACTGTATTTAAAAATGCAGCCTAATGCAGCCTTGGTGAGCATAAGAGACTAAACTTTAACAGTGGCATTAACTCCAAACATTTGACATATATTACAAGTGGCACTAGTTGCACTATACACTAGCATTTCTGTTCCACTAGCCAATGCAGATAATCTTAAAATAGCCAAATATCCAATACATCGGCCTATCACTTCACTAAATAAATACATGAAATCCATATGATACAGATTAATTGCAATTGCAGGATTGAATAGGCATACTTACAGCTGAGGGACCTGAAATATGGCGCTGTCCAAAGCATTAGTGCCCATGCCATCTTCACTGTCCAGAGTGTATCCATCCCCATCAAGCATTCTGTGGTTTGTTTTATCTGTAAAAATACACATGCACACACACACACACAAATAGAGAAAGCTGAAATTAGACATGTGCCATATAAATACGGGGCTCATTATTTACATTACAAACTTAAACACAATTTATGCAAAAACAATGGATATGCATTTTCCACATATGAACGGAAAAGAAAAGCAAAAGAACAAAAAAAGAGAGACCACGGTGAAATGAAAGGTAATGCACTCTTTTTAAAATAACTTAAACATCGGTTTAACCACAGAACAGAAATGTATGCAAATTTCACGGCTTTCTTGACTTTAGATATAAACATTTTTGTGTTTTGGACGTGTAATGTGCTGATTAGTGCTGATTTTTATTCTTATATTTAGAGAGAGGGAGGAGTCACGTGTCTCTCACCTCCTCTAGCAGAGATCCCTCCATGATGGTCATCTGACTCGATACTTTGCTCTCATTGGCTGGAAGATGTTGTATGATCAGTATGGGGCCAGTTCTGCCTTTAGATGGGGCTGTCTCTCTACACGGACTCATCCACAGATTGCATAGTCGCCCTCACATGAAACCAGCTCATGATTTTTACACACCACAATCATGCGGACATAGATATGGGTTTGATCTGGGGTAAGGGCCTGGGATTTTACTTGCAAGGGGAAATGAGGTAACAGAGGGGTTCATCATGCTCTGGATGTCAGTGTGAAGTGTCTTCAATATACACTCAAATTTAGCATCGAGTATCTCTATGACGGCAGGGAAAGAATAGCACTTTAGTTGTGAAAATCAGCCTATGTGCTGTACCTCTAGGGATCTTTTTTAAAGCAACAAATGTCTCCTCTGCTAATACAGAATTCCAGAGAAAGATTGAGCCTGGCATTTACTTTTATATGGGGAATATTTTTTTTAATTGTTGACTCACCCAAGTTTTACTGTAGCTAAAGGCAATCTTTTGTGGTTTGTGATTTTTGATTTACAAACGGGAGTTTAACAGACATTGGTTGTTTAAATTATTTAATGCTTTTTAGTCTTTTTTCTTTAAAATCAAGATTTTTTTTAGAAGAGATAATTTCTGTTTTGCCACTCAAATATTTAAATGCTGGGAGATTTAAAAAGTACTTTAGGACAGTCAAATGTAATATTCAATAAGATATGGTCTATTTATGAATTATTGAGTCAAGTTCTCCTTTTGTGATTTTAGGTGTAGGCTTTAATTTATTAACATAAAATGATGAAAACTAAACTAAACAAAAAATAAAACAAATGTGTCAGAAAGGTGAGGACGAGAGGGAATGGAAAAGAAATAGCGGAAGAGTGCGAGAATGAGAGGAAGGAAGAAAGAAAGACAGAGAACGGATAGGCTGTGAGCTCATGTGAAGTAGTAAGGGTTACTTGGCTGGAGTCGGGCCTGTTGCACCGCAGCCTCGGCTGCAGCGATGGCGTTCCCGGCTTCTTCCAGGTGTGCTTGGGTGACGCTGCCTTTGCTCTGGCTGCGTGAGGGGCCGTGGGAGCGCAAGTGACCCTCAGAGGAAGATTTGGAGCTGCCGGGACTACTGTGAGACTTTTCTATTGTAGGGACCTGTGTGTCTGTGAACATACAGTACGTGCCCTCGATTAATCCTGCACAAATCCCAAATATACCTTAAACCTTCCTTCTCCTGTTAAATATGCACAGCCGTGCAAAAGTTTGGGGTCGGCAAGGTTTCGTTATTTATTTATTTATATACATTAATAACTAACCCCAAGATTTACGCTGCTGGCACCAATGAAACCCACATTTGGCACTGGCACAAGTGACCAAAGGTTTGGCTATAGCAGCCTGACCATGAATATTGATTATAGTTTTGATGGAAACAGGAGAGTTGAGGTGCACATTTAATTCTGCAGTGAGTTGGGCAGCTGCTGTGCTTTTATGTTTTTTGGATAAAATCTGGGTTAGTACCTGCACCTCCCTTTCAGACAGCCAATTCCTCTTGCTAATTTTTTTCAGCAAAAAATATATATTTCTTGAGCTGAAAATCAGCATATTAGAGAATGATTTCTGAAGGATCATGTGACTCTGAAGACTGGAGCAATGGCTGCTGAAAATTCAGCTTTGTAGTGTCAGGAATAAATTACATATAGAACACATTTATTTTTGAATTGTGATAATATTTCACAATATGACTGTTTTTACTGTATTTTGATCAAACAAATACAGTCTTGTTGACTTTGAATGGTATTATATAACTAGAAGCACCACCTGTGAAATCCCTGTGTTTATTTTTGTTTAGTATGCATACCTTTAGCGGGATCAGGGAAAATGCCATGACTTTGGCTTTTGATGACAGAGGTTTTAGGGGACTGGTGGTTCTCCGGTTGCCCTCCTTGACCTCCAGAACCTCCTGGCCCTCCCTGACCTCCGAGTCCCCCAGAGCCGCTGGGCCCCTGTGGAGGGTGGGTCCTTCCATGTTGAATACTCTCGCTTTGCTCCTTTAGGGGGTGCCAGCGAGGTGTGTTATCCAGCTGAGTCGTGTTTGAAAGATCAATGAGCACCTACAAAAAAACGTATTCATAATGTGTTAGATTATATTATATTTACTCTTCTGACTTCAGAGAAATTTCTTTCCTTTAGTCAACTATAAACTATTCTTTGGCCGATAATAATGCAAATAGATACTGACAGAAGCTAAAATGACTTAAGAATTACACATTTCATAACAATGACCCATGGAAGAGAAGACAAAATGCTAGCATACTTTGAATCACACCTAAGGGACTGATGCAATACAAATTATGTTTATCTCTGCCGTTAGTGTTTTTTGGTGCATGGAATGACACTCATCTAGCAACACTCACTTCTCCCAGGAAATCATTTGAGGAATATCTGTCATAATCCCACACAGTAACCTCCAGAGTTTTCTTCTTCAGCTAAGCCGAACACACACAAACACAATTTTTTAGTCAGATGCTGGCTGAAGACATAATTCTGAAGGCACAAACATTTTTAACTGGAAATCTGTGACTCAGTAAACAGCATAGCAATGACAGCAAAACTGGGTCAACTTCAGTGTTTTCAAGAATGGAATGCCAAGTTTGGATGGAAAAAAAATGGGACACATGGGAAATGTGACTGTGATGTCAAACTTCCCTTGTGTCTTAGACTAGTAATTACATGCAATGCATTCTGTGCATATTCCTTGGACTATATATAACATTACATAGAGCTAGAGAAAGAGGGATGTAGAAAAAGAGAGAGATGAAAGATGAATTCCGCATGAAGAATGACTGTATGAAATAATGAGTAATAAAGAGTATTTAAAAAAACAAAAGTGAGAAAGAATGTAATTTTTCATATAGATATAATATTTTACTGATATTATCTCATTAGAAGAGATAGCACTGACAAATACTTATAAACATTATGTCTGGAGAAAAAAAAACTGTATACATAATATTTATGGTCTCCACATATATATTTGGAGACCATAAATATTATTTATACCGTTTATATATATATATATATATATATATAAACGGTATAAATAATATTTATGGTCTCCAAATATATATATATATGAATGTCGTACTTACCTGCTCCAGAAGGATATTTTTATAAATGACGGTCTGGTTCCACTCTGGGTTCTGAGTTTTCTGGATATATTTAGTCCTTCTCTTGTTCTCAGCACTGTGAGGTCATCATGTTGAGGGAGGATACAAGGAGCAATAGACTTAGATTATGCATTTCAATGGGTATATAGTATATTTATATAGCCACACTTGAGGATAGTTGAGTTTCATCAAGAGAGGACATCACAAGAGTCAACACTGATGCATTTACGGTCCATGGCACCAGTAATGATGATGACATTATCAGATCACAGAGTAAACTGTGGAACAATGTCTACTTCAACATGAGTATATGGGCAATCTATGCAAGCATACAGTAGCGGTAGACTCTTACAATGAGCTGATGTGAATTTAAAAAATGGTTGAGTTGCACACCTGTACTTAATATATACTGGCTTTGAGGGAATAATTTCAAGAATTTATTGACTTCACATCAAAAACTTCAGAGGTAGAGGTTGCTTTGAGGTAGATCTGACTGAGACACTTCACAGATGACGCAGTAGGTTTCACCACAGAAATGACAGCTAGATAATGAAAGAAAGGAAATCCAAACACACACACACACCCACGCACCAATGAAAAAGTAAAATGAAAAGAAAAAGAATCACCACGCTACCTTGCGTTCTGGACAACCATGACTTGTCTGAACCAATCCGGAGATTTGTATGGAATGCAAAGTAAAAGTAGACAGACAAACAGACAACAGTCAGAGAATCCAAGGAAAGGGTAGACAGAAACCCCTCCAAAAAAAGTCGTGGCTTGGGTGGAGTCGTGGCTTCCGAGCTTTTAGCACCAGACAGAAGGATCATGTGTGCAGGTAATAGTAACTAATCTCATAAACACTGCAGATATGGCCATTAGGAGATGGCAGATATAGCATTACACACCCCATACTGGTGGAAGCCATATCGATTGTGCTGTCTCCGCAGTCCGAGACACTGAGCTTGATTACTAGGTAGCATGTTAAGAGAGGAAGGCTAAGCTAATAAAAATTGACTTCTCCAAAGAAGATCTCTTCCACTTTAGCCTTCCAATAAGTCATTTCAGTACTAAAGAGGTAAGGACTTCTACCCAGGAAAGGGACCTTTTAGCCCACTGGATTTGCAAGCTATTATAGGTAACTTTTTTAGTTTTTATCTGCCATCCAGTGTTTCATTTGATTATGAAACACTTTATACTCTTTTGTTCCATTCCAATTATTATGGAATCATTTGTATACATCATTATACTATAAAAACAAAGTGATTTTCAAAGAGAGTTTTTGAAAGACCCGGGAGAAAAACAACAACAGGAGCTATCCCCCAAAAAGGGGAATTGAATCAAATTAATTGACTCAAGATTCAAGTAACTTAAAAAAGAAAAATCAGACAATAAATTAATCAAAATTACAACACTTATATATGCAGACAAAGACAAACATAAAAGAAATACAGGTACTGTAGAGTCTATAAATCTTTCATTCTTCACTTACTTTTACTTTAACACTTGCACGCACACAAACATACGAGCACACACACACACACACACACACACACATGCGCACACAGAGCCATGTACAAAAGGACACTCACCCTCTCCCTGGCAAGAGATAGACCTTAACGAAAGGGTCTGTGTATCCATTGTTTTCTCTAGGAGCGAGGTTTCTTGCTTGCAGCACATGAACAATCAGGTTGCCCATATTCCTGTCATAGTTGATTTGAAGCTGAGGGAAAGATAATTATATGACACACAATACTTTAGGCAGCCCATTCAAATTCATCAAATTAGCACTGGGATGCTTCCATTTAAATCCATTAAAGCGGTCAATACTGGAGAAAGTTGCGAGGGCTGATCACAATTTTCTACATAAAATTCATGTACTGAAAAGTAGGATAGGCATTTTCAGAGATCTTAGAATCTCTATTTTTGAAAGCATAAGATCCCACCCTCCCTTCAGAGCGTCTCCAAAGCCACGCCTCCTCCAGAACACATTAACGCGCACACCAGAGCAGAGTCTGCAAAGCTTCACGAGAGACGGCGTTAAATTACCCCATGTTCCAAAGCACATAACATTACAATAATGAACGTTAACAACTTAGAGCTCTGACTTGCACCATCTGATTGCTGCAGACTCATGCTGGCGCTGATAGTATTGTCATAGAAATGCATAATTCTGAGTAGAACGACACGGGTTGCCATCTCATCTTTTCACGGCATGTCATAGTTACCGTAAGCTCGTTGTGAGCATGATTGCTGTTTTGGTTTAGGAGGAACTGTAAAAGGTGGCTGTTTGTCGAAAAATCTGCACAGCCTCATGAAACATGCTGATGACATGTGATGTCTGCGCGAGTAGGGTGCACGGAGGTATGCAAATACATACGTTGACTGGGAGGTAGGACATCCTATCATTGCAATCCGACTGAGACTTCCACAGAAGATTTATGTACATTTATTTAATATTTAGACCACTTCTATTATTGATTGTTATCAGGATATGAAGAGTGATTCATCCAGTATAACAAAAAGTGTTTATGAAAAACATTGCCTATACCTTTAACAGTAACAGGCAAGAGCATGAATAGCACAATATTTGTGTTTACTCAAAAATCTGAATTTCTACATCTCACATTAAACATTATCTTTGCTTTGATATTGAAAAACTAATTAAAAATGATTAAAGATATTCCAAAACAGTTAACATGTTGCCAAATTGTGATTAATACAGTTGGCTGCCATATTCAAATATCTGGAAATGGGAATAATGACTGGCTTAGATGACGCGAACACAGTCAAAACATAACCATATCATTCAAATTAACTTTGGAATAGTCTTGTACAGTACATGCAAAATAGGTCATTGTGAAATTGCACAGACTCACTTGTATTTCACCAGTGATTGGATGCGGTTGTGGCTTCAGAACCTCTGCTGACTGAAAAACAAAATAATGGAAAATAAATCCCTAATAAAATTATTTCGCAGTTCCCTATGCAGACACAACATTTGATATATTCGTCATATATGGTAAGAGGCACATGCAGATGCACCTTCCTGCACACATTTGCACATACAGTACCTTGCTACCATGGCGCTTCTTGTTGACGGAAGGGGACCCGGGTTGTCCAGGGCTAGGGACGCCACTGGAAGCGGCAGATCCGGTGCCAGAGTGCAAGTGTCCCGCTCTCTCCAGAGCAGACAGCACTGAGACAGGAGCCTGCTGCTGGGACACCTTCTGCAACTCTGCAGCCAGCTGCTTTGGGTCTACACCTGGAGAGCGCTGACGCTCACCTACAACACACACACACACACACATACAACAGCTATAACACAAAACAAACCCTTTTCAACCTACTGATTGATACAAACACCTTTTCCACGGTCAGGAGTGTAAGAAGACTCATAACCCAGGGTTAAAATAAGTGCTAAAGAAAGCTGTAGGAAAGGAAGTCACAACTTCCAGGCCTTGTCTTTTGTCATGCATGGCATGCATGCATATTAGCTAGAACTGGATCTGAAAATGTCTCATTTAGCCTGCTTATGAGGCTAAATTTTGAAATCACTGAAATATGTTATTGAAACTTAAACTTAGCCATGGTTTTTGTTTTCAATTTAGTATTTCCCCATTCAAGTACTTTGGAGCATATGCATGGCAAAGATGGTTGCAGAGTGGACTCATTTACCTTTAATGAAGCTTGGCTAGTATGAAAAGTTTATTAAAGGCATCAAGACATGTAAGTATAAAGGGAAGAATGAAATGCTAGAGACACTCACCAGCTCTCTGCTGAGAATGGAGCTCCAATTGTTGTGGGTGCTCTGTGTTGGAGAGCATGTTTAGGTCCCTAAAAAGAAGTCAATTTAACAACTGTATTAGCATATTGGCTTAAAGACCACAGTCACTGCAGTGTAGAACATATTTGATAGTTAAATCAGCATAACATCAATTATTAATATGGCACAACCTGAAACTGAAAATTTCTTCCAAGTGTCTTACATAAATAATTGTGTGAAACTATATGCCCTTACAAAAAAAGCACTGCGCTACCATGGTACAGTGAGGGTCTCAGGTGGTAACCACACATTGGCCTATTTTAATATTGATAATAATAAGGAATTCCTGAGCAAATCAGCATTTTAGAAGGATCATGTGACACTGAAGACTGGAGTAATGATGGTAAAAATTCAGCTTTGCCAACACAGGAATAGATTACTTTTTAAAATCCATTAAAACTGAAAACTGTTATTTTAAATTGTAATAATATTTCACAATATTACTTATTTTAGCTGTATATTTGATTAAATACATGTAATCGAATTTTGCTTGGACTAAGGATTTGACATTTGAGTGGCATTTGTCTAATGGTTATAGTATGTATTGTAAGAGAATTGAGTGTGAATTGGAGGTGCTGTTATGCTTAGGTCGTTGCATGGTATTTTGTAATTGATAAATATTCAGATTGTGATTATTGATTGATTGTATTGTCTAATTTGTCTTGTGTTTTAGTTTTTTCTGTTGCTGCTGTAACACCTTAAAGGTATGTTCACCCAAAAACGAATATTTTGTCATTTACTTACTCAAGTTGTTCCAAACCTGTATGAGTTTCTTTCTTCTGTTGAACACAAGATAATATATTTGTAAGAATTTTGGAAAACCAGACAGTTGATGGTAGCCACTGACTTCCATTGTAGAAAAAAAAGAATACTATGGAAGTCAATGGCTACCGTCAACTGCCTGGTTACCAACATTCTTCAAAATATCTTATCTTGTGTTCAACAAAAGAAAGAAACTCATACAGGTTTTGAACACCTTGAGGGTGAGTAAATTATGACAGAATTTTCATTTTGGGGGTGAACTATCCCTTTAATCTCTCCTTGGGGATCAATAAAGGAAGTCTAAGTCTAATTTGTTTGAATTAATTAATATACTCTTGGCATTTGCATAGTACTTTTTTTGTTAGTGTGGGGGACTAGACTGAGCCTTAAACATTGAATACATCATTATAACTTACAGGCGCACACATATTTCTGCCTCTCCATACTGTTGACCCATAATGCTTTGCACCTCTTCATATGTCTTTCCCAGCAGAGAGATTCCATTCCACTCCATAACCTGCATTCCTGAGGAACACAACACATGCCATTAGGAACAGTGAGTGAAATACATTTATTATGTTAGAATAGTAAAAACAGATACTCACAGTCTGTCTTGACCAAAAGTAAACATTATTTGTCAGAAGATTGTTATGGAACGTATTAAGAAGAGATGTTGTTTATAATAGTCACCTACTGTATGTTTATTTTTAAAAGCCTCAAATTGAGAGCCAAAGTTGGGTTTAGTGCGTCACTAAAAAAGTGAAGGCGCTGTAAATTGGGGAAATATGTCAAAAACTATTATATTCACACACAGATAGACAGGAAAGATGTGCTATTGTGATTCCGGAGGGTAAATTCAGGAAAAGCAATCACTGATTTACCTACAAACATAAAAAAACATGCACACTTCTTCAAAAGCATGCTTCCCTGAGCACTCCACTCACTAGGCTACAATAAAACAGTCCTGCAGCATCAGGGACAGAAACAAGTGCAGAGGTGAGAGGAAATTTTAAAGAATCACTGCAAACTGAAGCCCACTTCAAGCCAAACCCCGGGCACTTACACAAATGAAAGCGAGTCTTCAGATAGGTCTTTTGCATACGGAGCGCTTCAGCGGCTGATAACAACAGGACATCATTAAAATGTCTGTTCATCTCTACACAATCAATCCCTTCAATTTCCACTCAAAAATCTCTCAAATGTTCAGCAGCTATGTCAGTCATATCTCCATATTACTCTGCAAGATTACCACTATAGGCCAAAATCATCACTTCAGCTTTGAAGTGTCAAAATGATTAATGCTTGATTTGGAATCAAATTCGGTTCAGTTGCTGAAAATATTGTGAACTATATAAAAGTGAGCATTCAAAATCATATTTAAAAAGGCTTTAATGTTAGAAAATACGCAAAATTTTTCATCATATCGCAACATATAGGAATTTATGGTTGAAAGTTAATCCTTAAAATTGTTAAAAGATGAATCCTTATTTAGCCAGTGCAGTGTGTTACTGATATAATATCCCTGCTGTATGCACTACAAGCACACATACTTTGTGGTTCTATGTTGAAGTGCATGGATATGAGTATGCATTGTGCAATTGTGCGTGCATTCAATTCTTGGCCCAAACAATAATATTGCCACAGCTATCAGCTATTAAATCTGCTCTCTAGCACTTTTTCCACTGTGGCAGCAGATATTATTATATTGTATCAAGGGAATGCATACTTAAGATAGAGAACAGATGCTTGTGTAATCTACCAGCAGATTGGTGCTTGCATATTTCAGGCATGAAACAAATAAAAAAGTTTTGACACTATAAAGGAAAAATGCATTTTCTAAAATCAAACAAGCCCAAACATGTTCAGGAAGCTGAGCTACTCTCAGAGGAGCTCATCCAAATTGACAAAGCATGCTGAGCCAGCAGAGTCAACAAGGAGAGCAATCATACTGCAACAACAGCGTCCCTGTTAAAATGAGAAATGGCTTCCCAAATTAGGCACTTGCAGTTTGAAACACTACTGAATGCTTAAAATAAATGAATGTGCTGACGCTTGCTTATTTTAAACACCTTTTAACATAATAAAAGAAGCATGTACTTTTTTATATAAATAGAATTTGTTTATCTGTTTATTGCACGTCCTTCGCTTCATTAACCCCTGAATGTCTGTAAGAGAATTTAACTTGCTAATGTTATCGGACAGAATAATATAAAAGTTCTTACCTTCAACAACTTTTCCCGTTTGCTCGGCACATCCTCCTGCTGAAACCTTGGCGATGTAGGCTCCGATCTCTCCGTTGGTCCCTGGAATCTCTTTTCCGCCCACAACTCTGATTCCCAGCCCTCTCCCTGAAATCACAAGGGTTCAGATAAATGGCTTAGTAATTGGATCCTAATCAGAGCATCTCAGTATCATTTTAAATGTGATCTCTTCACCAATACATCATCCACGAGGCAGATTACAATGGTTGTTTTGTTCTTCCTTCCAGTAATTTAGTTTACAGGCCTAATTAACTACTTTTAGCTGTGTATCTTTTTGAGTAATTGCTGCGAAAACATACCTGAGATGCTGTGGTCCTTGGGGTCCCGTTGCAGTTTGATATGAGTGTGTGGGAAAGGGTAATAGCTGCCTTTTATCTGCTACAACGAAAACACAATACAGAAGCAAATGATTAAACAATTCCTGGAGCTCTAACAGAGCTTTTGCAATAACTATATGCCTGCAGATGTGGTTTGGTGTTCTTTTAAAGATGAGTACAGTGTGTCCATGTGTTTGCATGGTAACTGTGGTTAAAGTAGGACATGTTCCTAGAATAAAATTCCTAATAACCAATCAGATTGTAGGGTCAGCTTTACGGTGAGTGTTGCAGCTTAACCCTCTGGTGGTGTTCTTAGGTCATTTTTGACCGAAGATTTTTACGTTTTGAATTTTAGGATTTTTTTACTTCACCGGAATGGTATGAAACTTGGTAAATGTTTTGTCACTTGCAATGTGAATACACAAAAAAATCATGGACATGATTCGAAAAAAGAAATAGTCACATTTGTGCTCCTCACGGTCAAAAATGAAAACTTGGAAAACTTTTGGTACTGCGGCCAAACAAAATCTTACTGAAAGCTCATTTTTTGATATATCAAGTTCAAATTTGGAACACAACTATTGTATTTAGATGTATGGCTTTGATTTTCTTGCAGTTTTGCGTGTTTTTTTTAAATATGTTTTTGTGCATTTTTGATTACAATAAACGGAAAATTATGTAACTTTTTTAAGTTCACTTTTTTAAACTTTTTCTCACTTCAGCAATAATCTGCCAAGTGTCATCTTTGAAAAGAGATCAAAATTAAGTCTGTTCTTTAAAGCATTCAAAATTTATGATAGTTTAAGTTGGAATTTTACATTTTTTACGCTTAAAAAGTGAATTTAAGGATTATAAATACAGCGCAAATATAATTTAGTATACCATAAAATCACCTAAAAATACAAAATATTAAATAAAAAAAAATATTATCAAACAAAATATAGTACATTCATTTAATTGAGATAAAATTAAAACAATTCTGTCATTTTTGACCAACACGAGAAGAGCACCAGACAGCATTGTTATCGACTTGTAATTGTAAAGATTTTAAGTCAATAAATAATAGTTTTGATTAAAACTATGTTGTTGTTTTTTTGATAGGCATGTTGTTCCATGACCAACAAAATCCCCCAGGAATACATCCTACTTGGCAAAATCACGAACACTCTGTGGGTGCCACTTTACCTGTCTTCTGTCTGGCCCGGCTTCTGGTCCACCACGTCCCTGGCAGGGTTTGTCAAACCAGTCAGTCTCTTCATGCTGAAGGTGATATGCTAGAAGACAGGAATAAAGCAACCACTGTACCATCACAAGTGACAAAACTGGGGCATGTGTCCCACTCCACCACTTTTCTCCCAGACAACCAACCCTTCACAACCCCCAGTTGGGGACACTACTGTGCTAGACTGTTTGAACTGACAGCTTGATGGATTTAGGTTAGGGCTTCTAAGAACAACATCTGTTTCAAAAGGGTTGGACATTATCTTCCATTTCACAAGATCTCAAATCAAGAGTGTTTATTTAGATAAATGTACTTAAGTAGCCTGTCCCCAGGGAAAGCAGTGACAGAGGATGGTGAGGGCAGGAAAAGCAAGGATCTGGGACATGTTTCGGGCATGCACACATGAACATGCATGCTGTGTCCCTTCAGGACTGGTCTACATGTCATGCGTCGAGAATTTGATAGAGAAGTGTTGTGGGTCTGAACCACAGCAGATATACGCACATACACACACCATCATACAACAGTGTGATGATGAGATGCCTTACCATATGTCTGATGATAAATACAGTTTCTGTAAGTACTCTCTCTAGCACATTAGTTGGACTACAAGTAAACCACTACTCAAACCAAACAAAACCACAGCTTATGTTCTATAAAACCAGACTTTCATGATGCTAAAATGCAATTGACTTAGTTCAAACTGTAATCAGCACCCTCAAAAAACATTTTCTTATTCAGTGTTGTAATCTTGTTTTTCAGTAAACTTTTTAAAACATTCTTAAAGACAAATATAGTTGAGACGCAAAATTGTGTAAGATAAGACTAAGATACGATATGCACAAATTGTAAACAATTTTGTTAGATTCATGCTTAAAATAATGGGTAAGAAAATTAATTCAATGTATTTCTAAGATCTGTTATTTTGGCTCTCAACTAAATGTATCTTTTGTTTTAAGAATATTGAGAATGTTTAATGTAAGAAAGTTTAATATAATAGAAAAAAAAAGATACAAATACTGAATAAGACAAGGATTTTTGCAGTGTACTTGGTCTCACCTACAGAGTTGCACTGGTAATATGTTAGTCTAGCATCCTATAAGTCTGTATATATGTCTACTGCTGTTTTTTTTTTCCAGCTTCCATTTCAGGTAGTCTTGCACTTTCTTCAAAGACACTGGGAATTCCTAGAATAATTCATAACTCAAGCTAGGGCAGACATGTCAGCACATACCTAAAATAGATCAGACGAGCAATATCTTCTGTTTTGTTTACTGGGTATTTTGCACAACCTGCAGGTGCTTTTATTACAATACTGTGTAAGCGAATCATTTTTTATTCATGAGGCAGCACTATAGTAAGCCACAAATCATCATTTAACTCCTAATAGAGTGAGAAGAAAAAGGACAACCGGATCTGTCTGCAAGAGTTTTGCAATGAAGAGCTTGATGTGCTGTCCTTCTGCAAGGAAATGTCACCTTAAATCAACAGTGCATTCACTTTATAACCCAAATTAGAGGAACCATTGACCATGGCACAAACCAATGGCCTATAGAAAACGGTCATTCTGGCCAACACACTATCAAAAGGACACATCAATCTAATAACTTTTACCCTACACCATCAAAACAGCAATTCCATTACATTAGTGACATTTCGGTGGGGCAAGATAAAGGTTGATAGAGTGACATTTCCTAATTAGCCTACCCTGTTCTAGGATACCTCTGCTATGGTATGCACACATATTTACTTGTGTATGTAGACATGTATGTGCCCTGGTTGATATGATCAGGCTATGTAAGAGAGACCTTGAGGAAGTGCAGTGATAATGAACACCAGGATGGGTCTGAGGTGCATCACTGAGAAATGCCCATCATTCAAGACTACAGTATGGCACGCATGAAAGTAGGTTTATGCTTAATGATATTTTGAAGGTTGCTGAACAGCAGTTCTCACCTTTCACATTCCAGCTAGGACCTCCAGCTGTAGTGCAAACATTGTATTTCAGAGAATTCATAGTAAAATTAGCCTTAAAACAGAGCTATGTTGTGCCAATAAAAACACACTGTTATATTTGCAGTGCAGGTGGATAACTTGTACTATTTCAAGTATCTAATACATGCAATAATCTTATTTTCTAAAATATCTAAATAACACACCATTGTAATCTATATTTTACTCTAGATCTATTTTAGTTAACATTAAAGGGTTAGTTCACCCAAAAATGAAAATTATGTCATTAATGACTCACCCTCATGTCGTTCCAAGCCCGTAAGTCCTCCATTCATCTTCGGAACACAGTTTAAGATATTTTAGATTTAGTCCGAGAGCTTTCTGTCCCTCCTTTGAAAATGTATGTATGGTATACTGTCCTTGTCCAGAAAGGAAATAAAGACATCATCAAAGTAGTCCATGTGACATCAGTGGGTTAGTTAGAATGTTTTGAAGCATCGAAAATACATTTTGGTCCAAAAATAACAAAAACTACGACTTTATTCAGCATTGTATTGTCTTCCGGTTCTGTTGTCAATCCGCGTTCAGTGACGCTTCTGACGTAAAACGCTGCTGACGTGTTATTTGGTGCGTCCGTGTATTTGGGTTCAAATAAATATGGCTGGGCAAAAAAATGCAAGTCTTCCTCTGTGTCGAAATCCTTAGACATGTTTGCGAAGATTGTTTTGTTTACAGCGTGCGTCTCCCTCAGACTGTAAACGAAGCTCGGGCGCACCGGATAACACGTCAGCAGCGTCTTACGTCACCAGCGTCACTGAACGCGGCTCGACAACAGAACCGGAAGAGAATACAATGCTGAATAAAGTCGTAGTTTTTGTTATTTTTGGACCAAAATGTATTTTCAATGCTTCAAAAAATTCTAACTAACCCACTGATGTCACATGGACTACTTTGATGATGCCTTTATTTCCTTTCTGGACAAGGACAGTATACCGTACATACATTTTCAATGGAGGACAGAAAGCTCTCGGACTAAATCTAAAATATCTTAAACTGTGTTCCGAAGATGAACGGAGGTCTTACGGGCTTGGAACGACATGAGGGTGAGTCATTAATGACATAATTTTCATGTTTGGGTGAACTAACCCTTTAACAATACCTATACAGCATGTATTAATCTGAGTTAATGTTAATTTCAACATTTACTAATAATTTTAATTAAAAGTTGTATTTGTTAACATTAGTTAATGCACTATAAACTAACATGAACAAACAATGAACAGCTGGAATTTTATTAACTAACATTAACAAAGATTAAGAAATACTGTAACAAATGTATTGCTCATTGTTAGTTCATATATTAACTAATGTTAACAAATGACCTTATTGTAAAGTGTTACCAAATTATTTGTTTAGTAACACCAGCAGTACTAGTCTTAATGGGATGATCCAGGTTCAAAACTAACTAAGCTCTATTGACAGCATCTACGTTATATTTGCAATTACCACACAAATTACATTTTAAAGCAAAACGGGTGGCTTAAAACAGCAGTTATTTATGATTTCTGCTTGTTTATACAAACTGAGACTACTGAAATTTTTTTGAACCTGGAACGTTCCTTTGACTGTGAACATAAGCAAGCTAAATAGGCTGTTTCAGAAACACAAACCATTTCTGATACTCTAACAACAGAGCATGGGGTCACATCTGTGCAAACCCAGCAGAGCATTTAGTGTTGTAAACCAACATATAGGCTATTCACAATTTGCACTCAGTTTATACCAGCTTTACACCTGGCTTATGTTAAACCTTCCAAACAGCTTGACGTTCAACACAATATCCCAATCTAGAGGGGATTTTAAAATATTTGTCAATATGTTGTCTTATTGGCATTGAGACCCCTGTGACAGTTTAAAGATTAAAAATGTGTTTTACAGGGGGACAAAATGAATGAAACATTATATTCATTAACCAAACCATTTGTGTAAATTGCCTATAAGACAGACCTTCAAAACAATGCAATACCTGGGTGATTTTAAATTTCAATCCTTGCTTAATGTTCACTTCAGTATAAAGAACAAAATGTATGAAAAACACAGAAAGAGAATGGACAGTATATTTACTGAAAATATATTCATCTTCATGTAACATGCAAGATGTTTTTAAATTCCCATTTATAAGCCATGCAAATACTGTAATAGCAAGAATTTATTGAGAATGAAAATTGGAAACACACCCATGACAGACATTACATGACATAAATAAGAAAACGGCAAAACAGGCGAGTTAAAAGTAGTATATATGGAGGTGATAAAAAACTAGGCTCCAATTAATGCATGTTATAAACAGATAAACTTCCTTTAACCCTCATTTAATTTACAACTTTATCTCATCACGTGTCAAAAGCACAAATGTGTCAATATTAGTGTCCACAGGGGTAGAAAAGGGAAGAATATACATTCACTACATTAATTTTGCCACTTGCATTTCTGCAACCTGACATATTCTGGATTAATGAAAACCAGACAAACTAAACCAGGTACTCCCATGAATATAACATTTGAGAATGTCTTAAAAAGAAAGAAGATAAACGTTTAATTATGATTAAAACAAATGGTTCACTATCCCAAAGCTGCCGGAAAGATATAGAGGGAGAATTTAGAATTATATTTAGAATTTTTTTCCCCTAATACGAAAAATGACAAGATCATCAAAATTATATTTATATAATTAAAAACAGACAAAAATAGTGCCCTCTTAAGATAACCAGTCACTAAATGATTCTGACAGAAATATAGGATGCTGTAACTTCATAGATAGAAAGCAGAGCAGTTTCCTTATCAACTTGAGGACTGTGATAAATAACAGAGGCACTGAATGCACAGTATAATGAATTAAAATAGCTCAATTAATAGTTTTCAAGATCTCCAAAATTGTTTCTCCTCTTATATGTATATGACAAAGCAAAAGTGGGAAAGGAAACATGTTCCTTTTTGCATGCAAATAGAATACATAAAAATCAATATTACAGTATGAAGGTGAAGATTTTAATTTAAGAGTATGACATGCAAATGCAACACCCTGCAAATTATAAAGTAAATCTAAAAAAGATGGAAAACGTAAAGGAAAACGTAACAGTTGAATTTACACACAGATATAAATAATGCATTCAGAGCCATACAAAAGATGCATATCAACAGAAGCTGGGATTAAAGATAACATATCTCATAACAAATTTACCTTCACTATCTGACATGGCCCCCTGAAGGTCATCCTTTATAAAGGCAATGTCTCGTTCATAGCCACTTGTCCTGGACTCCTCTCTCATGTGCTGTTGGACTTCTGGAAGAGAGTGACTGGAGCCAAACTGGTCCCTTGAGTCTGCTGAGATGGGTGGGAGTGGGCCTGCAGATGCTCTGGCCATGCCCATGGGCTGACCAACAGGACTCAATGGACTCTCTTCTTCTGAGTTTTGTGCAACAATGGGAATCCGACCCCTGCTCTGACTAATTGGCAGACTTGTTGGTTTAGCCCTAGATACAAACTGTGAATCCATGCTTTCACCCTCTGTTTTCAGGCGTAGAGAGGAGTTTGATAAGTCTCTTTTGATAGATAGGTCCAGTCCATATACAGAGGAAGGCCTAGAGGAAGGTCTTGACCGAGTGCCGCTGGGATAGGTGCCATCATCATGGAGGGAAGACCTTATGGTAGGTCCTAGGTTGAGAGATTGACCAAAGTTGAGTGACTGAGCCAGGTTAGGATTAAGAGCTGAACCCAAATATTTCTGTTGCTCCACTAGGTTCTTCCTAAGACCAAATGTGATCTCATCCTGCAGGAGCCTTGCCCTGGCAGACAGTCCACCAACTGATGAGCTGGCTGAAGCCAAAAAGCTGCTGTAGTCTAGTTCAAGGTCCCTGCTCTCTTGAATAGGTGAAAACTTAATTTTAGGGTCAATTAGAGCTTTTTTATTCTTTAACTGTTTTTGGTAAAGAACTGAGGCAGGCAGTTGCTTGGCAGCCTGCTTTTCTAAAGTTAGTCTCCCAATGCTGTATTTTTCAGCTTTAGGGAAATGTCTAAAACTAGTGTCAGAGTGCAGGTAGTGAGGCAGACCGGTAAGCTGTTCAAGGCTATCTGTACCTCTTCTGAATTCCTGCTTAATTTGCTGTTTCAACATCTTCAATTCATATGGCTCCTCCATTGACTCCTCGTCAGCTTTACCGTACGAATGCAGCCGGGAAGCAGCCTGAAGAGGAGCAAGAAAGTCTGCCACATCTGCTGTTCGACGAACATCAGCAGTCCGGAGAAGTCTGTCCGCTTTGCTGATATCCTTATCTGCGATACTGAAGCTTGAACTTAGGCCCGCTGAGCTCTTTGTGAGTTCACCGATGTCATCAATCAGGACATAGTTCCTGGCATTGTGATGATCGAGGTCTGCATAGAAGGACTCAGCTGATATGCTGGACATGGGGCTGCTGGCCATGCTGGCTCTCTCTTCCAGGCCCATCCTCAGATCAAGGCTACTGTATTTACCACCGAGGTGGGAAACTCCATAGACACTCTCTGTGGATGTAGGGACAATTAGGAGGGGCTGGTTGCGTACAACCTCATAGTTTGTCGTTATCTTTGGCTCTAAGTCAGACAAAGTAGTCTGACGGGGTTTCTGTTGCATCAGAAGGAGTGAGGAATGGTCATAGCCAGTCTGCTGGGACTGCTGATTGAGTGAGGGGACTGATGAGTAGATGGATTGGTAGGGGGACACCTGCTGATGGTAAAGAGACTGCTGCTGGTACAACGTCTGCTGAGGATACTGACTTGTTTGGGATGCATATTGATAATGGGAGTATGGGCTTGTAAGTTGTGCATACTGGGACTCAGCCTCAGTCTGTGGTGGGATGAACTGGTTAAACTCTGACTGTGGGGCAGTCCGTGGCCGTTCTAGTCCATGACCATTACCTCGAGCCTCTCTGATGTTGCTGACCTCACTATCTGACATGTAGTCTCGCTCTTCTGCCACTCCTTGTAAGTAGGCTCTCTCCCTCTTCTCTCTCTCTTTCAGTAAAGCCTCTTTCCTTCGATTTATACCCATCTCCAGATATCTCAATTTAGCATCTATCTCTTTCTCCTCCTCATCAAGTTCTGCCTGTATCTTACGAAGTTTTGAGGACTCACGTTCAACTAAATCCAGCTCCTTGTCTATGTCTTGAAGGATTTTGGCCCGTGCCATAGTGGTGTTCCTGCACATTCGCCTTCTGGCAGAAGCAGTGGTGTACTCAGACAGGCCAATGATGGTATCTTCTTCCGGTGGTGGGTGAGGTAGTGTGCGTTTTACTTTCTTCTGAGTGCCAACTGGTGTGCCACTCTGAGAACCTTTGCTCTGTAGATAAAAAAAAAAACAGAAAGAGAAAGAAAAACAAGCAAATGATAGGCAATATATTCCAGATAGCAAGGTGACATTGATATAATGTTGAGTTTTAATCTAAACCATAATTTTATTTCAGATTGACATTTCAATGTTTAAAGTGTGTTGGATCAGCATTGACATTTTGATGAAAGCCGAAAGCACACATGGTTGGAGACAGGGTCATTGGACTAACAGTGATTTGTAATTGATGACCACAAGATCATGCAGGTATGTATCTCTGCAGAACACTAGTAGGTGTTCCCCAATCAGTGGGGTGTTTTCAAACCATGATGGCCATTTTCAACCGCTTTACCCGATTTAATTCAGATATAATTCAAAGTAATTGCCATAGCCCAGAGGTGTTTATTCCTCTTCATGTAAAGTTTAGCTCCAACACAAATGCCTGGAAGTTTTTATTGATCCTAAGGCTGGGCATACTCTGTGCAATGTTCGTCCGATTTTGAGTCAAATTCTGACTTGTGCGACTCTTTTTTTTTGAGCCAGGCTGATTTTCAGCTTAGTCATGTGTCGTTTGTCGTGCAGTGTACAGGGGGAACCGAGAGGCGATAAACCTCTCCCGGCCACCAATTGGATGGTCGCACAGAAAGTTTGGTCGCACAGTTGAAGCAGATTGCCCTAAACTCCGTGTTTTTTCCCCTCACTGCACCATTTCATCTTTAATGCAGCAAGAAGGAAAATTAAAAGGAGATCTTTAAGTTCTATTGCTATCAAACTAGATGCAATTTAGCAAACTGTTGCTTAATTACCTCCAGTTCGTGTCGCAAAATGGATAAACCATATTACCAACATCTTCCAAGCCATCAGCGTGTACATATACACCGGCACCTCTTTTATTAATATAGCTTATTGGTCATTAATTTACTTATTTCACTTTTCACTTTCACTTTATTTACTAATTTATTTAATATTTACATAATTTTATTATCACAGGAAATGTGAACCGTTGTCCATCATTTGGCAATTGGTGATAAAGAAAAATATCGCAATATTGGAAATATTTCCGTTTTAAACCATGAAGGCGAGTCACTGGATATCACACAAGCAATGTCCAAACTTAGCGGGAGAGTTATGCCAGTGAAGAAGTCTCAAACCTCAGTCAATTATTCACTACAGAAAGTGAAAGTAAAAACTGAAACTGAAAAAAAAAACTGAAACGGCGCATATTCTCTCAGACACAACGAGAAATAAATGCTACTTCAACATATGCTGATAACGGTGTATAACTGTCTTAATTTATTTTCTTAATAATTCTCTTATTTCCCATACAAAGTGAAAAAATAAGAGGAGAAGTATTTCATGTTAAACATGAAATACTTCATTTTCAAATACAGTTCAAGAGCAGTTCAAATACTGCTCTTAATTTTCATTGATTATTATTGCAGTGTTCGGATTTTATACTGTTAATAATTTTAATTATAGGCCTATAATTCATTGTAAAATAGACCTAAATGTTTTTAAATCATTTTCAATAAGGAGAAAGCTAATCTATATAATCTTTTATTATCCTCGCAGCGTTTCAGTTATGCGGTGATGAGCTATGAAACTATAGAGGGCGCAAATAGTAATATCAATTTAGCCTAAAAATAAAAGTAATAATAATAATAATTTACAAATACATAATAAATTAAAGCTGCAAGCAGCATTTAGCGGTGTTCAAGCAGTTAAGGCCTTTAAGGCCGTTAAGCACAAAAGTATCAAAAGACATTAAGTTTTATGTAGCAAGCATTTACCCACTGACATCATAGATGGAATAGACCATGTTTTAGCATGATTTACCATGATATACCACATTTCAGTTTGATTTTTCTTGATTTACCATGTTCCAGTATGATTTACTATGTTCCAGTATGATTTACCATAGTTTACCATGATATACCAAGTTCTAGTATGACTGACCATGATTTACCCTGTTCTAACATGGTTTACCAGAATTGAACACATTCTAGTATGATTTAATATGATTCTAACATGGTTTACCATAGTTTACCATGATTTATCTTAGTTTACCATGATTTATCTTAGTTTACCTTGATTTACCATGTTATCGGATGATTTACCATGATATAGCACATTCTAGAATGATTTACCAGGATTCTAGCATGATTTACCTTATTTACTATGGTTTACCATGTTTCTGGCGTTATTTACCATGATTTACCACGTTGATAGACATTATGTGAAGCATCAGAACAATTGAATTGATAAACTCTGACAAAATATGATTGTGTTATAATAGTAATTGTTATATAAGTGATTTATTATTGTCTATATATATGAATGCAAAAGCACATGTGAAAAGACTATTAATAAGTAGAGAGGGCAGTAGAAGACCACTTACTGACTCACTTTCATTTTGAACACACTTGGTTTCACCAGTATTCTGCACTAAAACAAACCAGTTGTTAACTATATTATGCATGCTTACATACACACACACACACACACACACACACACACACACACACACACACACACACACACGGGATATGTTATTGTGAAAATCTCTTTTAATGGTATATAAGCAGGTGCTTGAACACCTAATAATAGGGGACCTTTTTGACAGTTATAGCGCCACGCTATAAGACTATATTCAAGTCTCTAGGCCTTACGGTTTGGGCTGCACGATGCGTTTTAGGTTGTTGTTTTTTTTCAAATAGCAATTACAATAGGTTTTCAGCACTTCGTGCTTGAACACCTAATAATAGGGGACCTTTTTGACAGTTATAGCGCCACCTATGGTCTGATCTCCATGAAACTCTGCATGCTTCTTCACCATGTTATGACACATGTGCTCATCAATTTTTGTGAAGTTCTGAGTTTTTATTTATGATTTATAGGCTTTTGAGTGTATTTTGACACGCCCCCTTTTCTAAACGACCCTGTTACAGTGAACCAAAGGGCAAAGTTCAACTTTTTTTTGATAATTATTGATCTAGAGAGTCCATAGAATTGTCCTAGACTGGTCTGGTTCCGATCAAGGAAAAAACCAGGGACTAGTTCGCAAAAGTAGGTTTTGGACAAAATTGGCCATAACAATTTTTTTTTTGCTCAAATCAAGAATCCGAGATATACATCTTGTCCGTCTTGAGCCAAGGAACACAGTGGTGCAAAAAGCTTGATTCCAAGTCAAACGGTCTAGGAGTTATGAGCAATTTAGTACTTTTGGTTGCTGTAGCGCCACCTATGGGCCAATCGGGGTCACACTCTGATAGGTTCTCCCCAAACTGAGGCCCTAGCACCTGGCCAGGTTTCAAGTCTCTAGGCCTTACGGTTTGGGCTGCACGATGCGTTTTAGGTTGTTGTTTTTTTTCAAATAGCAATTACAATAGGTTTTCAGCACTTCGTGCTTGAACACCTAAATACATAAATTAAAAATGCTAAATCTTCTCGATATGATAGCTGATGCTTTTGAAAATATATCTGAATATATATATATCATGGTTTGCGCAACCCGGCACGGGGGTTTATCGCGCATATTTCACAACTATAGTGTGAGCAGCCAAGTCGCAGCTCGACGATCGGACTGTATAGTGTGAGCAGATAAATCGTGAGCTTTGGAATAATTTTACATCGTATGTGATCTACTCGTACAGTATGAGTTGGTAACCTTGCTGAAATCGCACGGAAATCACACAGTGTATGCCCGCCTTAGTGACCTTGATTAGCTGGTTGAGGTGTGTTTAATTAGGGCTGGAGATTGGACACCCCTGCCATAGTGCTTTCATTTGATATTTAAGCATTAATAGATTTTAGAAAAAAAGAGGAAATAAACAGAATTTAACAATACTATAATCATAGTTAGAATATTTTGTGTTGAGCAATTAAAAAAAATAAATCATGTTGTGTTTAACATATTAACATTCTTAAATGTGACTGTATGTATGAATTGACTTGCTCTTAAGTAACATCATCAAGTAACAAAGTAACTTTTTCAGATTTCAGAGAATCCAAAGGAAAAGAGGCAGTAGTCTGATGTAAGCCAGTTTTTTAAAACCTGATCCGTAGGACTTTGAAATGGACAGACATTTGTTGATGTACCACTGAAGTGTAGTTGAATTATTAATGTTGTTTCAACATTATGTGGTACACCAGATGGCAACATTGTTCCCTTTCAAGGGAACTCGCGTTGCGTCGAATGACGCTAAGGGAACGCTTTGCGTGATGATGTATTGAAGCACATGTAAAATCAGTCCAATGGTGTGACGGGACGTCAGAGGCGGGTGACGTCATGAACCAGGAAACTACATAAGCCGGTTCAAACCCAGCCGCGACAGCTTCTGTGTCTTCACAAGCGCTATATGTGAAACTGTCTCTGTTATTTGGTGTTGTCTGTTTCTATATATATATATATATATATATATATATTGTATTCAGTATGGCGAGCAAGCAGCAGTTCAGAATGTGTGTGCACCCCTGCCCGCGTTATTTACCGGGTGGGGACACACACGTTCTTTGTGTTGTTTGTTGGGAGAGGAGCATGCACGGTCAGCGCTCGAGGGCGCTGGCTGTGAGCACTGTGATGTGCTTCCATTGCGGACGCTCCGATCCCGCCTGGCATTCTTTTGCGAGGACGCCCAGGCTCGCGTTCCCCAAGGCTCAGGTCCCGCTGCTGCTGAGGCACAGCGAAGGCTTCAGACTTGGGGTTCGCAAATGGATCTGTCAGCGGGGTTAGAGATGGGCTCTGCCTTATCTCTGCCCTCACCTGACAGAGCCAGTGCTGTGTATCAGGGTTCGGAAGCACACGCTGCAGTTTCTTCCGCCCCGAGCAAGCACCAACAAGCACCAACACTTCAACTATCCAGTTCCGAGGAACTGGATGTTATAAGTGTTGATACACGTGAGTCTGAGGATTCGCCACCTCAGTCACGCGTGAATGAGGAGCTGGTCGAGGTTGTCACGAGAGCGGTCGAGAAATTAAATATTGATTGGCCGTCAGGTAAGCAGGACGTTCG